CATTAGTGCCCATGATTTCATAAACTACCCGAATTAAAACCCACTGAACTACCTGCCACCCACCCTACTTTTTTCCCTGCATCTATTACTACAGCCTCAAGGTAACCATTCTCTTGGTGTTCTTATTCTGTTTTGTTCTGTTTTATAGTAATTTTAGAACAGATTGTGCTTCGATATATTTCTTTATTTAAATATATTTATGTAATTTTTACTGATGCTCCCTATTATTTAATTGTGATTTTTTACAGATAGTCTCATTCTACATCTATATTTCTGTTACAACTTTTTCCCCCACTCTACTGATTCAGTACCTGTATGATGCCTCTATATGCCAGTCCATTCATGTTGACACTTCTCTCCTCCTGTGTCAGCAGAGCACAGATTTATATCCACCCCTGCCCACTCAGACACACGTGCTGTCCTCTGTTACACTTGGCTGGCTGAGCCTGCATATCTGTGTCTCGCAGGCCTTATTTGCCAGGCTCTCCAGGCATATGCTTAGCAGTGGAATTATACACCAAACCTCAAAGGAGAAGGCCAAATTTTGTTCGCAGGGGCTGATCCCAGTTACAACCCTGCCGACAGGATATGGGCGTGGCTGCATGGCACAGTCTTGCCAGCTTGCAGCTTTGGCAGTTTTTCGTGAGCATCAGACTGGCGGGGGTGAAACACTGTCTTCTTATGGCTTTAATGTCCATCTCACTTGTGTTTTCTCTTCCAAAAACCTGTTGAAAATGTTTTCGTCTACTTTAAAAAATATGAGTTTTACTTTTCCTTAAAGTTGTAATTCTGTATCTTATTCTTCCAGTTTGAAACTAGTTTCTCATTTGTTAGGTTTTTTTTTTTGGTTTGTTTGTTTATTTTTTGTTTGTTTTTTTTTTTTTTTTTTTACTTGAGAGAGTTACAGAGAGAGCAAGGGAGAATTTTCCATCTTTTATCCACTGGCTAACTCCACGTGGCCGCAATGGCCAGAGCTGGGTCTGCTTCGGGCATTTGAGAAGTAAACTAGTACACAGAAGGGCTCTGTCTCTGTTATGCTGCTCTTCATGGAGAATCAATAAATCAACATTTTTAAGATCAGTAAATGAATAGAATGCTTCACATTTCCTCCTGCCTCTGTAAAAAACTTTGTTTCACTTCTTAAATCATGAATGGATGTGGATTCTATGGAATGACTTTTCTATGTCTGTTGGGATACAAATATGATCTTTATTCTGTTAGGATAGTCAGTTGCATAGAGTATGATTTCCAGCGTGGATGAATGCAAAGATTTTTTAATTTCCACAGGATTTTCTTGCTCTTTCCAATGGCCAGATTCCTAGCCCTTGTTTCCCTGTGCTAACTGGGCTGCTTAGAAGTGCCATTTCGCAACTTCTTGGCTTTGTGCAGCAGAAGGAATTTTGGCTTCTAACCTCTTCCTGGCTCAGCTCCAGGGAGCAGGTTGGGTTTGAGAACACTGGATTTGCAACCAGGCTGACCTCAGATTGAATCAGGTTCAGTTGCTCAGCTTCTCAGGATTTAGTTTGTCCACCTGTAAACAAAAGCCTGTGACCATTCATAAAATCTTCAGGCTCAAAGCCAAACTGAGGCATGGAAAGGCTCTGCCCAGGGCGTAGCACAGTGCAATGATACAGTCAGCCGTTGCGGTTGAAGCGTAAATCTTGTGGTGGGCTGCTCTATGATCTGAAGATATCATTTTACATTTCCCCAGTAGATTACAGGTGCACTCATGGTTGACAGCATGCATTTTATGTCATGGGAAATGTTACTCATAGCTTCATTCATGTACTCAGCAGAGAGCTGAATACCTGTTGTGTGCCACGTCACTCACTGGACTGTGGAGGAAACATTGTTCCCCAGACAAACCTGGGCTCAAAGACACCTGCTCCCTGCCCATGGGAAGCTTCCCTGGGAGGATCCGCACCTGAGGATTCAGTAAACAGGGTGGCTGTGGAGTGTTCTGGGAGAATGCTTCACTTGACAAAGGGTTGAAGGAAGTCACACCAAGACCTGAGATCCTGAGTCTGATTTGAGAGGGCTACCTCTTCCTGGGTGGATGCAGTAGTGTGCGGCGGGGAAAGCTTGCCTGATCTGAGAAATACAAGGGCGGTCAAGCGGTTCAGAATGTGGTTTGGAAGATGAGCTGGAGGCTCATCTGAACAGGTGTAAGCACAGGGAGAACAGCTTGAAGGTGTTTCCGGAGGCTCAGCTGACAAGTGGTGGTGGCTTAGAAGAGCAGCAGTGGCAAGGTGGATCATCCCTAAAGGTATTTCAGAGGGGGAAGCAATAAGATCTTGAGGCAAATGACATAAAGAGTGAGCAAGAGTCACATGTCTGAGCAAGTGGGTGATTGAGAAGGGGAACTTGGGGTCAGAGCAGAGAAGCATCAAACGCTTCTGAGAAAAGCAGCAAAAAAGATGTGAAGACTGCCAGACTGAGTGGGGCGGGAGGGCAGTGGCTGGTGACCCTGCAGAGCATTTTCACTGGAGGGCAGGAGCTGGACAGCAGTAGACTAGAGAGGAAGAAAGAGGTGAGGAAGAAGTCCACCCTGGGAGGAGGGGCGGGGAGGGGTGGGACTCGGACAGGCCAAGGAACCAAGGCAGGTGTTTAGGTGTCCTACCATGCTTCCACTTCTGCTTTTCATCCTGAGAAGCGTGGGCTTGTGAAAACACTGATGCGTGATGCCTAAAGGGTGGAGAGAGAGGTTGTGAAACCTCCCAAAGAGTCACATTCCTCTAACCGCATATTTAGGAAGAAGCGTCTAGGGGACACTAAATCCATCATAAAGGGAGAAAGGAAGTAACCACTGGCTTGGGATGACATTTTGGTTTGGTGACAGGAAATTGAAGCTCTTCTCTGAAGCCACTTCCCCCTGAACCCTGTCATGAGAAGTGAGTAAGATCATCTGCCAGTACGGGGAGAAACCCACCAGGGAATCGAAGACAAGCACTGGGAAGGGTGAGAGCCAGTTGATCCATCAGATGAGAGAAGGTGTACTGAGCAATGTTAACTGCCCATACCTGGGAGCATCCTCACCAAGAAAGGAGAGTAATGCTCGTCTCCTTGATTGGGATTTGCTCCAGTAGTACCAGCAGCCAGATCAAGTCGTGGGCACAGCCGAGCTAGGGTCACTAGATGGACATGTGAGAAACAGTGTAGCAAGGAGCTGTAGGCCATCACCAGGAGACTTTAGGGCTACTGTAAGGGGTCTGTTAACCTCTTCAGCGAAAAGCTGAGGACATATTATGTTAGGGTATTGAGTAAATTTTTTTTTAAGAAGGAGCAAGAGACACAAAGAGATTTCCCACCTCCTAGTCCACTCCCCAGATAGCTAGAGCAGCCAAGGCTGGGCCAAGCCAGAGCCAGCAGCCGGAAGATTCTACATCTCCCACATGGGTGCAGGATCCTAAGTAATTGGCCTGTATTTCATTGCTTTTCCAGGTGCATTAGCAGGGAGCTGGATGGGAAGTAGAGCATGAATTGGCACCCATATGGATGCTGGGTGACAGATTAAACTGATCTGCTGAAAGGCCGGCTGCTATTTTTTCTTACCCTCAGAAGAATCCCATTTTTTTCCCCTTGCAGATGAAGAGTGTAATTAGGAATGACTTTGGATGTCTTTCAAAGTGTTATCTTGAAGTTGGTGTTAGTACAATAGTGGAGAGGCCCATGTCTCCCGTCAGAGTGCCTAGGTTCCATCTCTAGCTCTGACAGCTAATTTTTTCTTTCTAATTTGTCTATCTGAAAGGTGAGGACAGACATACTGAAAGAGGTTATCAGAGAGATCCTCCATCCTGGCCCAGGCTGAAGCCGGGAGCAGGAGCTCAACCCAGGTCTCCCATGTGAATAGTCAGACTCAACTGCTTGAGCCACCTGCTGCTGCCTCCTAGGTATGCATTAGCAGGGAGCTGCGGTCAGAGGCAGAGCTGGGACTTGAAAGCAGGCACTCTGAAATGGGATGCTGACATCTCAACTGGCATGTAAACTGCTACCCCACAGGCCCACCCTATACACTTCTTAGTCTAAACTCACCTGTTTCATAAAATGAAACAACTTGACATGGTTAAATACATTTGCAGCTTTAAGGATGGAAATAATCTGGGGCTGATGTAGTGGGTAAAGCCCACCCCTGCAGTGCTGGCTTTCTATATGGGTGTCAGTTTGAGTCTCAGCTACTCTACTTCCAATCCAGCTCCCTGCTAATATTCCTAGAAAAACAGTAGAATATGGTCCAGCTGCTTGAGTCCCATGGGAGACCAAGAAGCTCCTGGTTCCTGGCTTCCAACCAGGCCAGCTTTTGCCGCTGCCGTTTGGGGAGTGAAGCAGTAGATGGAATCTCTCTCTGTGTCCTTACTTCTGTCTCTGCAACTTGTCTGTCTAATAACAATAATTTTAAAAGAAACAAAATGAATGGGAGATGTTAGCTTAACAAAATTGTTGCAGTATATATTTTCAGATCCCATCTCTCTCTCTCTGTCACTTAAAGGCAGATTTTGAGAGAGAAGGAGAGACAGATGTTTCACCTGCTGGTTCATCCCCCCAAAGGCCAGAGTGGCTGGACTAGAGGGCATTCAAAGCCAGGTACCAGGAGCTTCTTCCAGGTCTCCCATGTGGGTGCAGAGGCCCAAGGACCTCAGCCATCCTCTGCTGCCGTCCAGGCCATAAGCAGGGAGCTGGATCATTGGCCCCTTATGGGATGCTGCTGGCACTGCAGGCGGAGCTTTAGCTGACTATACCACCGTGCCAGCCCCAAGGTCTCACCTTAAAGACTGTTTAATGTAGATGTAAATTATACATTTTGTTTGCAATATGCCTACATAGAAACTCTCTGGAAGGCTGTATGAGAAGATGGCTGTCATAGGTGTCACCTGTGGCTGATGGAACGGGTGAGAAAACTTCTCACTTCACGGCCCTTGACTCCTAGGGAAAGGCTTGCTCATTTTACAATACTGATATAAAACAGTTATTGAAAATGATCCTTTGCACTTTTTGGTGTTCAGCTTCTCCTAGGTTTTTTCATCTTTCTGCTCCCGTGGGCTCCAGTGTCTCTGCGAGCAGTTGCCATGCCCATCCATGTTTATTCTGGACTATTCCTCTTTGGGACAGTGATTGCAACATCATTGATGGGAGTGACCGAGAAGCTGTTTTTTGTCCTGTAAGTTACCCTGCTCTTCCTAACTGTCTTACTTAAACTGTAGAAGGTTAGGTACTTCTCCAATGGGAAAACAATATAAAGGTAACAAGTCAGTTTAGGTCTTAAAAATTCTAAAGATTCATTTTGAAACAACTGATTGTATCACACATGTTAAAAGCTTAGAAAGGACTGACATTGTCTCTACTCGGGGCACACTTAAATAACAGCTTGATGCAATTATAACCTGTCACGAAGGGCTATACTATTTTAACAATATGGGGGAAAATCAGTTGAGAGGGTGGGAATTTCAGGGGATATCCCAGATCCTACATAATTGTACCATAAAATTTTTTTAAAAAAAAAAAAGCTTAGAAAGGACCAAAACATCCAACAAGTGTATTTTTTAAAACTTCTTTAAACATTTGATGTTGATCCACTGAGAGAATCAGGGACAGGAAAGCTCACGTTGGCTGTTGTGCTTCCCTCATGCCTGCAGTGGCTGGGGCGGGGAAGTGTCTTAAGCAGAGCAGAGGTGGCTGTAGACTAGCAGGAGCCAGGCTGCCTGAGTTAGCCCCATTGCCCTTAGGGTCTGCATCCATGGGAACCTGCAGCCAGGAAGCAGAGCTGGGAGTTAATCTAGGCTAAGCACCTGCCCCACAATAACTGTGGAAGCTGTAAATTGTCTTCCCAATCTTCTGGATGTGCTTTTCTATTAACTGCAGTGACAGGGTACATAACGTTTTTGGCTTTTGTTCCCACATGTAAGTAATGCAAGCATTCCGCTAGCTGCCATGTCCTTTTACAACTTAATGAGTTTTAACCATTTCCAAACACGCTACTGAGTGCACTGTAGCATAATGTAATTTCTCCTGGAAATCGGTCCATAAGGTACTAAGGTCCGTTTTGAGCAGAGACTTTGAAGTCTGATGTGCTGAGTCGCCCATTTGTAATGAAACGCCTTCCCCCTTCCCTCCCACCCCCTCACAGGAAAGACCCTGCCTACAGCACATCCCCCCCGGAAGGTCTCTTCACAAACACCCTGGGCCTTCTGATGGTGCTCTTCGGGGCCCTCATCCTGTGGATCGCCACCAGGCCGCAGTGGAAACGTCCCAAAGAACCAGACTCTACCCTTCTTCAGTCAAACGGGGGCGCTGCAGAGGCGATGGAAGGCTCCGTGGCAGTAAACCTTGCCAACAACCCGGACAAATCCGATCCAGACCCAAACAGTGAGGCGAGGAAAAGAAACTTCGCCCTGGATGAGACTGGTCAGAGGTCCACCATGTGAGGTGGCATGAAGACGTAGCCGTGTATACTTCACCTTTAAAAACTCACCCCAAAGCTTAGCTTCTTCTATTTAGCCGTATGATTTTATTTTAATCGTGTAAGAGGAGTTCTAGAAAGTGTTTGCATTGATTAAGGTCCATCTAATTTGGAAAGGGTGTGATTGATAACTAATAGGTGATATCAGTTGTGGTGATGTTACCTCTTTCTTCTCATGGACCAAACCCTTAGCACAGAGCTCAAAATGCACCTGCCCGCTGCTTCACTTGATAAACTGGCAACATCCACTGCCTCTTGTCAGGGAACCCAGTGATTACAAAAGTAGGCGGCACCAGCCCTCAAGTTTTCAAATCCAGCATGAATAGATGGGGCTGGCTATAGACCTTCATGCGACACACACATCGTAACTGGCTTGTATTGTGGCATGTGGGGCCAGCTGCTGGGTGAAGGAGGTAGATCATCTCCTGGTGGAACTTGGAACAGTCCCCACGAGTCAGCCAAGCCTGAGCTTTTCAGGATGATTGTCCTGTATAATCCAGATTCTAATGTGGTCGTATTGAAGATAACGCCCGAATGCTCAGGCAGCCTCAGCTCCTCTCCACATCTCAAAGGAGCTCTTTCCTTGAGCTTCTGGCTCTGTTTTTTTGAAAGCACTCAGCTAGCACCTTGCACCAGACGCTCCTCTGGGCACTTCACAAAAGCCAGCTCGTTCAGTGACAGTAAGGGACGTGTCATGATACTCATTCTACAGGTGACAGAGCCAGAGCTTGGCGAGCTCAGGGGACTTGCCCCAAGGTCACACAGCTCCTACATGGAGGAGCATGACCCTAAGCACTTCTCTGCTGTTTTTCTGTTTTGTGCTGAGACCCTCTCAGCCCTAAGAAAATTTCAGCTTTGGAGCTGGTAAAGGGCACTCCCTTGGTCGGTGGCCCTCTTCCAAGATTAGAGTCCCCGTGTGAATGGGGACCGCCCCACCACTCCCCCAATACCTGGAAATACGTCATGGGGCTCCTGCTGCTGCCTACAAGCCACGGTGCACCTTGGTGTTCCTTTGATCTTGAAATTGTATCTTGGTGACAAATTTGAGCAAGAACATCTGTACCTTTCAGGATTAACTAAGCATAATGATAGGGTCTTAGGTGCTGGGGAGCTTTGGAGCCAGGAAACACTTACCTCCTCCCCAGGACAACGGCAAGCCGTGGTCCCTCCCGACTGGTGGCTCCGGAATGGGGTGTTCTGAGTTTTGATGGAGACTCACCTGACCATTCCTCCTGCATGGGAACCTCTGTCTGGGCCCTAGGCCGACTTACATCCCTACCTAGAATTAAGTAGTGCCTATACTTCTCATTGATTGATGTTTGACCTTCCTGTAGCTTTAAACTAAACTATTGTAAAACGTAAAAAAGCTGTACCATTGACCACAAATTTGCTTAACACTACCAGTGCCTGTGGCATTGGGTTTTGAAGGTAACTGATGGTAGCTTCCACAGAGCCCTGGGAGTGCCACTCCATCACACACACCTCAGATGCCACAGGTGACCAGGAATGGTTACCCTGTTGCAGCGTGCATCCTTCTAACTTAGTTGTCTGACGCTCAGTAACACGGTTAACTTCTGCCCCAGGGAGGGCAGGACATGAACTTGGTGTTAGAAGGAATAACTGCACGGTCACCCACCAAGATGTTTTGATAAATGGATGTCTCAGCACATAAAAGCATTCCACAAAATACCAGAGTTTTGGGGGGGGGGGGGTCAATGATAAAGACACTGGGCCCTGAGAATCGAGGCCAAGAACGAGGTCATCAGTGCAAAGTTAATTGCAGTTTTGGCATTTGCACGCCTCCTTGGCAGGTGATCCCAGTCCCCCTCGGCTCAGCCGCTATTTTCTCCTGTGTTTTGGGCTAATGTGTGGGTAATCTTACAGATATTATAGGATCTTCTTTCTATTTCAGCCTTTCTGAAAACAATGCATTGTAAAATATCTCTAGAAAACCTTTCTGTTTAAGACTCTTCTTCTTTTCATGGGCTTTTAATTCTAACGATAATTGCACCATTATCTTTCCAAAGCCTACATTTCCTATGTAAAGCATCTCTTCCCTTCACCCCTCCAAAAAATCTCTCATTAAAAAACCCTCAAAGACGAAGGAGAGAATAAAGCCGCAGGTATCAATTCCAAAACAGTGATTGAAACTGCACCTAAATAATCATAGCTTCTATCTGTTATTTGCCAAGATCCGCTGGCTTGGCTTACTCCGTAATCTAAATTCAGAAAAGAAAGCTTTGTTTTAGCACTCACCAGAGTCAACATGCAAGCCTTCTCCGTCAAGGGGTTTATTGAGGAACCCAAATGGATATTCTCTTTGGAATCAGCGTCACCCAAAGCGTGTGGCTTCTGGTGTCAGACTCAGCCTGCCCTCCGATGCACTTTGCCTCGTGTGCTTCTGTGGCTTCGCCGGAAGCTGTGCTGTTGCTAAACAGCATCTCAGCCCTTCACAGCCATCACACTTTGGAAAGAACACTGCTGTGTCTTACACGTAAGAAAGTCTATAAAAAAAGAAGTTAGGATTCTGTAATCCCCTACAAGGTAGCTGAAAACTTTAAATGGACAAGATTTCTGTCTTTGTCTTTTTATCTCAGCACATTTATGAAAAGATATTAAATATCTTGAATATTTTATAATTTTGTAGAAAATATGCATCTATTTTTCCTTGACTTGTTTTTATATAGTAATAAAAGTTATTTTGCAAGCAAGCTTCATTGTTTTCAATTTGTCTGCTGTTCCGGAAGTTTGTTTATTATGGCTGCTTTCTTTTTTATTGTTGTTTTGTATTCATTTATTTGTTTGAAAGAGCAACAGTGGGGAGAGAGTGAGAAATAGTGGGAAAGAGAGATCCTTAAGAGCCAGAGCTGGGTCAGACTGAAAGCAGGAGTCAGGAGTTCAGTCTGGGTCTCCCAAAGGGGTGCAGGAACCCACCCGCTTGGGCTGGCCTCTGCTGCCTCCCAGGTGCCTGTGCAGGAAGCTGGATTGGAAGTAAAGGATCTGGATCAATACCAGCCACCTTGCAATACCTGATGCGAGTGTTTCAAGTAGCAGAGAATTGGTTTAGTTTTATTTTCCCTTAAGAATCTTTTTTTTTTTTTAATTGGAAGGGCAGATTTACAAGGAGAAGAAGAAGCAAATAGAAAGATCTTCCATCTGCTGGTTCACTCTGCGAATTACTGCAATGATCGAAGCTGAGCTGATCAGAAGCCAGGAGCTTCCTCCAGGTCTCCCACACAGGTGCAGGGTCCCAAGGCACTGCCTACCTCTTTCCCAGGCCACAAGCAGGAAGCTGGATGGGAAATGGGGCTGCTGGTACACGAACTGGTATCCATATAAAATCCAGTTCATAATTACTAATATCATGTGATTTTACTATTAGTTTTCATTGTCTTTTTTTTGTGTCTCTCTTTTATTCTGCTCTGCTGTGTGCATATTTTTTAGAATTCAATTAATCTATTGATTTTTTTGCCATGCCTCTTTTCATTAAATGATTAGTGTCTGCTTCTTGGATTACCATATGTGTGTACCTCAAAACTTTTGTGGAAAAAAAGTATTGTTGCAAAAAATTTGAAGTCTATACATAGTTTTTTTAATAATATGTATTTGTGATGACTTCATATACCTTTAGTATATATGTAGAATTAGCATTGTACCAAAATTCTCAAGATAATAGGTAATTTACTGATGCATAATTCTAGTCTGTTTTTGCTATAACTACATATATTATATACTCACGATCCAGTGTTGAAAGTTTTGCTTTAAATATTTATGTGTATTTTCAAGATATGAAGCAGTGGGATGGGCATTGGGTCCCAGTGGCCGAGCTTGTCATGCTCTCATCCCATACTGGAGTCCCAGCTGCCGTGCTTGCTGTCCACTCCCTGCCAGTGTCGCTGGGAAATAGCAGACAGTGGCCCAAGCAGCACGCTCATCTTCAGAATGCAGTCCATGGATACAGAATTCTAGGCTAACCTTTTTTTTTTTATCTGTGTACTCTGAAATGCAAAAATGCTTTGTGACAATAAGCCAGTGGTCAGTGTGTCCCTGTTACAAAATGTGTCCTTTTCCCTGGTTGTCTTCATGATTTTCTTCAGTCCTTTGGTTTTCAGTCATTTAATGATGATCTATTTGGATGGCATGGGGTGGAGGGGTATCTCCTGAAAAGGGTCTCCCTCACTCCACACAGGGGCATAACATGTAAGGCCGGGAAAGTTCCGGTGGAAGGTCACAGAGTCAGGGATCCCAGAACACAACTGGAGGGGCCCACCCTGCAAATCTAATCTGTTTTGCAATTCTGGACAGGAGTTTTGTCAAAAAGGGAGGACATCCACTGGGTGAACAAATGCCCATTTGTTCTGGCCCTGCTGTGCTTTTGAGTCAGCTGCCATCATTTCCCTCAAGCAGGGTGGTGTGAGAGGAATTTGAGGTTTCTGGAGTAGGAAGAAAAAGTCTTGAACTTGACCAGTGAGTGATCCATAAGGGTGGGGTGTGGGGTAGTTGGGACTTTCTGAAGTGTTTGGCAATCCCTGCCTGGCTCAAGGTCCATTGTATTAGCTAGTGGGTCTTCAGACTGAATAGGATCAGATGGTTTTCCCTGTTTAACTGTAAGAATGTTTGCTCTTTACAATCTGACATAGCAAATTCCCCAGTTTGGCAGGTGTGATGGTAGTCAGAAGTCTAGTCCAAATACATGCTTTGTGTATTCTTCGATCTAAGTAATCTAAATCCATCACACAAAGGCTAGGCTGAGACCATCACAAATGTCCCTTCTGTGTAACAAAGGAGAAAGGGGAATACAAGTTTGGCCTGAAGGCTGAGTTGGCTGGTGAAGATGCTGAGATTTTCTGAACAGGCCCATATTCTGGGATGCAGGGCTGGTGGACTGGCTCAGCTGCACCATGAGTGGGCCGGCTCCAGCTCAGCCCAATGCACAGGCAGGCAGGCCTGTGTCCCGTTCCCTTCCCGGGGGTGAAAGTGACAGCAAGAAGCAGCACTGCCTTTCTCCAGCACCCCTCTTCTACTAAGGTTTGCAGCCCCCCTCAAGTCGCTAGCCAGGGAGCTGTACATTGTCTGCAGGAGAGACTGGGCCCAACAAACCCACCCTGAACACCCAGCTGGAGAAAGGAAAGTAAAAAGAGCCTTGAGGTAAGAGGACCTGACTCACCTTGGATGGGAAGTCATTGCTTATTCTCTTTCTCTTTCTGTGTGTCTGTCTTGTCTTTCTGGAGAACTGGGTTACAAGTTGAGTGCAGGTGCCAACTGAGAATCACTATGGCAGTGATTGTGTGGCAAACCTTGAAAATCTTCTTGGTCTTTGGAAACAGTAAATAGAAAGACAATGGCCAAATACAAACTCACACCAAAAGCTATGTCATGCGTGAATAGTTGACAATAGAGAAAGATGTTCAGAAAGGATTCAGAGAAACCAAGAGCCTAGAGAGGAATTGGTAGATGGGAAATAGAAGGCATGCTTGTGTATGTGATGAAGCATCATGCAGCAGACAGCTCATTACTTAATAATGGGTACCTCTGGGGCTGGAGAAAATCATGCAATTTCTGTTTGCTCTATCTTCATTTTCTCTATTTAATATTTATTTCTTTTGTCTTAGAAAACATTACTGTTACTTTAAAATATGCATGATCAGAAATCCACTTGCTTGTTGACATCATCCAAATCTTTGTTTAGTCTAAGTGAACAAGAAGTTGAAGCGCATATTTTTTTTAAGTAGAATAAGTGTTTTCTTCACCTCAGGAAAAAGGAACTTAAGTATTTGTCAAAAGCTGGGCTTGGTCAGATACTAGATTGGCCTGAAGAGTCCTTTATTTGGCAGCTTTGTGAATCCCCATGGACATAAACATCCACAAGGCTTCCAAAGGTGATAGGAGTTCCTGGAAACTGGGCAGTGTGTAGCCCGTGAGAAATGGGGCCAAACAGGAAGAGCCGGATTTTTATGAAAATTCTGGCACGACCAAGAAGTGTAGCCTTGGACTAACTACTTAATTTCTGTGCCCGTTGTAAAAACAGGTCTGTTCTTGGGTACTCGCCAGTGAGCTCTTGAAAACTGTCTGTGTACACAGGATGTCTCAGAGGCACTGACCCAAGGGCGCAGTGGAGCGCCAGGCATCTGTAACATCACTGTCCCTGTAACGTGTGCTGCCATTCCCATCCTGCCGCACGGAATTGTCCAGAATTCTCAAGGACTGTGAGTGAAGGAAACCTTTTCTAATCTGGGTAAAAAGGGCTCCACAAAGGGCAGGAGGTGGGTGAGCTTCGCAAAGGTGACCAAAGGGGCAAGGCTAGTGTAGAGGATCAACTGAGAAGAGAGAGATGGACCAGAGCAGAAAGAACAGCATGGAGGGAGGGACAAGGGACCCGGTGCCCCAGCAAAAGCCGTTGGAAAGCTACTGATTGGGGTGTTAAATTCTCAAGAATGACAGTCTAAATGACTATTTCCCACAATGTACAATTCATGAGTACTCTCAGGCACCAGTGATCTGAACTGAACCATGTTTGTGTAGTTACTTTATGGCAAGAGAAGGACAGATTCAGCTAAGCCTCCTTGTCCTTAAAGATCTGTTACTGTACCTAATGGGCAGCTCATGGGTTTTTGACAAATATGAGGAAAAAGTCAAAATCAATAGACTGGTGTGGGAAATATGACACTAACTCAACATGACGAAAAAAGACATAATAGTGTCAGGATAAGTTGTTTTTATGCTTCTCAAAATGCACTTAAAGATCTATTATTATTATTATTATTATTATTATTATTATTATTATTATTAACTTGAAAGAATTGCAGATTGAGGTGGAAAAGCAGAGATATTTTCGCTCACTGGTTCACTCCCCAAATGACTGCAACAGCCAGAGCTGGGCTGGTATGAAGCTGGGAGCCAGGAGCATCTTCTGGATCTTCCATGTAGGTGCAGGGCCCCAAGACCTTATGATGTCTCTGCTGCTTTCCCAAGCCATAAGCAGGGAGCATGGTCAGAAGTGGAGCAGTCGGGACTTGAACCAGTATCCATATAGGATACTGGTGCCACAGGCAGAAGATTAGTGTGCTATACCACCACACTGCTCCTCTCCCAACCCCAAATTTATTTAGACGCCGGGCACAGTGGTTTGTGGTATTTTCATTTTGGTATGCCATGATTTGATTGTCCCGCCACGGCATGCTTGGAGCAGAGAGCAGAGAGCTTGTCCCGGGTTCCCAGTATGCAGCTTGAGAGGAGCTAGGGAATTCTCTCAGAGGGCCTCAGCCATCCCTGGACTTGTCTGACATGTTGAAATCATGTGGTAGTTTTCAATTCTGCCGACAAACTCTTTGATATTCTTCCCAATGGAAAGTAGAGTCCAACTCCCGTCCCCTTGGCTTGCTTTGACAAGTAGAATGTCAGAAGGCATGCTGTGTGACTTCTCAGACAAGGTCACAAAAGGGGGCACAGCTTTTGCCTTATTCTGTTCTCTCTTGAGATGGCTGTCTTTGGAACCTGGCCATGATGCTGTGCAGAAGCCAGGGAACCCCATGGAAAGAGCCTGTGTGGATGTGCTGATCCTAGCCCTGGCTGAAGTCCTAGCCAACAGCCAGCATCCTTGCACTGCCCTGGGAGAAAGTGAGTCGAGAGGGTCCCAGCCTCTGGTCTCTAATTCCCCAAGCTGATGCAAGGGAGTAAAGATTCACCACCCTTTGCAAACCCTGCCCA